ATGCTGTTGTCAATTTACAGCATTCGGGTAAAATTGCGACTAAAACACCCAAGAAAACCTTTAATCTGTCGGTACAGTTATATGGGGCTATACCACAGGGTGAGATAAAAAAAACTGCAACAAAGTCAAACGCCATAATTTTTACTTTTTTTAAATTTTATTCAATGTAAGCAAAAAATGTCGGAAATAGAATCAAATTTTAGAATAAGTTTAGATTTGTTCGAATTGGTCACCTTTGGAATGAATTATGGCCTTCAAACGGCCAATGAAACCGTCACACGCTGCCCGAATGTTGCTCTGCGGTATTTTGGCCCATTCCCGGCGAAGTGCTTGCTTGAGGTGATCCACATTTTGGTATTTTTTAGTGCCAACCTTGTTTTCCGAAATACTCCAGACACAATAGTCCAACGGATTGGTATCCGGAGATTTCGGTGGCCATTGTGCGCTGGAAATGAGGAGAAGAACCTCATTTTGTAACCATTTTTGGGTGGCGCGTGCTTAGTGCGATGGTGCTGAGTCCTGTTGGAATGTCCAAGGTCTGCGGCCAAAATGTTTGCGTGCCCAAGGCTTTAATACACCCTCCAGAATATTTTCGCGATAATATTCGGCATTTATTATAATACGAGCGGAGAGCGACCATTGGCTGTTATGGCGGTCCACACCATCACCTTGACCGGCGCTTGAGTTCTGGTGGCCAACCGAAGGTGCACATTTTCAGCTGACCTCTTTGGCAAGTAAACACGATCATTTTGTTTGTTTACAAACTGCTGGACAACGAATGTTTTCTCATCGGAGAAAATCAAATTCGGCTGTTCACCACTTTCGGCCAAGCGAAACAAATCTTTAGCTCTTTTAAGTCTATTTTCTTTCTGTTGCGGTGAAAGTTCTTCCACGTTTTGGAATTTCAATGGCTTTACCCTGAGCTCATATTTCAATATTGGAATATGTAATGGAATATTGCGATATGTTCAGCTCATGAGCCATTTTTCGGCCACTGCGACGCGGGTTTCGATCAAGTCGCTTCTTTACTTTTCGAACCATTTCTGCTGATGTTGCTATTTTCTTCCGTTTTTTGTTTTGTTTTTCAAAAACGAGCAATTTCAGTTCTTACCGAGCACTATTCTAGTTTTTGTGAAGAGTAAACTCCATATAAAACTTCCACTTCTCGAGCATTCACACTCGCGAGCAAGTTTCACTCCCGAGTGAAAATGAACAAATCTGAACTCAGTTCTTTATTGTTTTTTTTTATTTATTTTAAATTTTTGCCTTACTAAGGCGAAGGTCATTTGTTGATGGATATTTGATAATTTTCTCTCTTTTTTAACAACCCAATACATTCTAATTGGTTGTGATGCATTTTATTTATTTTGTGAACAATACCTGATCTTTTGATATTAACGTCAACATCAACCGGTGATTGGTAATTCCCGTGGAATTTCACTTACCCCCAATTACATATGTATATGGTCTGTATATATGGGTATATGTACGATAAAAATATTATCGTCAATGTTAATATGTTGGCACTTTTTTTTAGAATAAAGAAATTATGTATCAATTTCATGTATCAATAACTGAGTTTTTATTTGACCTCACCTCACCTTCATATGTACATATATAAATACATATATATATATTTCTATAAATGGAATACTGAATATTGCATGGCGATATAATATACGCTTTTGTTTTCTGTTCAAAGAGCAATAATGATTGGGAATCAAGAGAAATGAACAAACAAACAAACAAAATATCTTTCATTGTTGCTCCTGTTTTTATACCCTGCGCCATAGTATGGATGGTATATTAAGTTTCCCATTCCATTTGTAACACCTGGAAATATACATGTTATATATTCTTGATCAGCATTAAATTCTATTTTCTGTGGAAATCACTCTAGTTTCCGAACAAAACTAAGTAGGACAATAAAATTTTACTCAGATGTATTTTTGGTATGCAGGACTTTTGGTATTGAAAACGGGCTATAAAGGTCCACGTTTTGGTATGGGCCCCATATAACTGTATTGAGAGAGAGTTAACAATTTTTGGGTGTTTGGGTCACAATTTCAAACCTGATTTGCTGTAAATTTTGATAATATATTCCCAGTATGTATAGTTCCTTGCAAAGAACTATACATGTAGGTCAAGGTTTTGTGTATAGACCCCATATAACTATACCCACAGAATTGTTGAAAACTTAGTATTTGAAGTACGTAATGGGTACTTCCTGCTTTGGCAGAAAATTTAGTGATCAGAAACACGCCTTCGTATGAGCCCCATATAAGAGTGTCTCCCAATATTCGATATTTAGATTGTTTTAACTACATTTTCAACAGAATTATTATAAACTTGGCGTTTGGACTTCGTTAACGACATCACCTACTCTGGCCGATAATTAGCTGCAAAGGTCCACGTTTTCGTATGACCCCATATAACTGTAACACCACATAGTGGCAAGGGTATTATGTCTTTGTGCATTACCTTTGTAACTTGGAGAAGGATGCGAGATAGGCCCATAGTTACTTTTTAGGATCTTCATAAAATCACTTTCTGAGTCGATTTATGAATGTCAGCCCGTTCGTCTATGTATTCTTGTGAACAAAATGCCGGTCGCATTTGTTATTGGATTTAGATGAAATTTTGCAAACAATATTTGTTTGGCCCAAGGACAAACCCTATTGAAACTGGTGATAATCGGTACAGATTCGAATATAGCTTCCATACATATCTTTAACCGATTTCGGGTTAATTGTGCACCAAATGTCTAATATCAGTCCCAATGACCTGAATTTTGATACATCCCACCGAATTCAGTCTAGAAGCAAGTACATCGAATTCGGAGAAAATCAGTTCAGATATAGCTATAGCTAGCGGGGCCGTTCACTTTTTCTGCTGACCCACATATACCCTGCAGATTGCTGCAATTCTTGCCATTTTTTGCAGAACTCTTTCCTTAATTTATTGCTATAACAATATTTGTATACCGTATTTTTGCTCATAACCGCAGATTTCACTATGTACGCTCTGCGAATAGTCAATACCAATTTGTATATGTTATGACAGTGAAGTGCGAATGATCCAGGGGTTTTTGTTTTGTTTTGACACTTGCTCAATTTGTGGTTGCTGGTGAAAGTTGCACTTGAAAGTGAGCACATGAGTTTTTTTTTATAAGGAATTGATGCCCAAAATTTTTTAAAAAAAAAAACACGAGCTTAGAAATTTCAAAGAAGGAGCATATAGCAATATTGTCAGGGCTTCGCTGCCTTATCGTCATTATATGAAGCCAATTATTTCATTACTTCGTTTTGTTTCGAAATTGGTATATATCGGAAACAATTAGATATGTTGAGGAAAAAATTATAGGTATAAGTTAGCAAAAATCGAGCACAACTTTTCTTTATTCAAAAAACGAAAATTGCAATTCCAGCAACTGCCAAAAATAGTTTTCTTTTTTTTTCAGAATTTTTGGACAAAAAATGTAAAGGCACTTATAAAATTAAAATTGTCTCAGATTTTTCGACAAAAAATTACTTCGAAAATAAAAATCAATCCAACTTTTCTTTTTTCGAAAATTGCAATTCAAAGCGACAACATATACGTATTTTTTCAAATATCATCTCTCAGCAATGCGTTTAATTTTGGTTTCAAATTTTCTGAAAAAATGCCACAGTTGGGTTTTTTCAATAACAATTGCATTATATAACAAGTAAAATAGCAGTAAGGTCGGCCGGACCGAACTTTGAAAACCTCCACCAGTTAAACGAATTTAAAAATTCTATTAAAAACTCAAAAATACCGAATAAATTTTAAATAATGCGACATTTGAAATATTGCGAAATTTGAAACAATTCCGGTGAATATAGTACCTAAAATCACCAAAATACCGAATATATTGAGGTACCGATGTGTGGGGGCTATACGAAGACCTGGACCTGTATAGACAATTTTCTGTCATAGACTGTAATACCCATTAGGAACTTTAAATATGACATTTGAAACAATTTCCGTGAATAATGTCGTTAAATTAATAAAAAAAAAACGAAATATAGGGAGGTACCGATATATGGGGGCTATACGAAGACCTGGACCTGAAAACACAATTTTCTGTCATAGACTGAAGTTCCTATAACGAACTTTAAATATGACATTTGGAACAATTGCGGTGAAAAATGTTTCTAAAATCATAGCAAACAACAGAATATCGGGAGGTACCGATATATGGGGGCTATACAAAGACCAGGACCTGCATAGACAAGTTCATGTCACAGACTGTAGGACCTATTATAAACTCTAAATACGAAATTTGAAACAATTCCGGTGAATAATGTCGCTAAAATCATCAAAATACGAAATATAAGGAGGTACCGTTATGTGGGGGCTATACGAAGACCTGTACCTACATAGACAATTTCATGTCACAAACTGTAGTATCCATTAGGAACTCAAAATATGAAATTTGAAACAATTCCGGTGAATAATTTCCCTAAAATCATCAAAAGACCGAATATCGGGTGTACCGTTGTATGGGGGCTATACCATATCGTGCACCGGTATAGCCCATCTTCGAACTTGCCCTGCCTGCAGACAAAAGACAGATCTGTGCAAAATGTTAGCTTCCTATCTTAATCCGTTTTGAGTCTAACGTGATTACAGCAGACGGATGGACGGACAGAGCTAAATCGTCTTAGAATTTTACGCTGACCAAGAATATATATACTTTGTTACGTCTAAAATTATTATTTCGATGAGTTACAAACGGAATGACGAACTTAATATACCCTTCATAATATGTATGGTGGAGGATAGAACAATTAATATTTAATTGGCGGTACAACTCGGAAAACTTTTCACATACCGAATAAAACATCTTTTATATTTTTTTACGATATCTATTTTTATTAATATTTCCTAGTACCTAAAAAAGGAAATACTTTTGAAACTCTTCCACATCTTCTGTTAACTAACTAAATTTCCGTATATTTTCCCTTGTATCATTGCAGAAACCTCAAAATGAAATTCGTACTTTTGCTTTGTGTACTCAGCGTATTGTTGCTGCAACAGACCTATGCCTCACCCGTTAAACTAGTCGAACGTCAAGAACGTGCCGTTGGTCGTCAACAGGCCACAAGTGGTGCTGTGGCAGCTGCTCCAGCTGTTGATGACGATGATGATGACGAGGATGACGATGATGATGACACCGATTTGGGCGATCTGATAGAGGATGATGATGGTAAATTTTATGTTAAAATTTTCTTTTAAAACACACACTCACACTCGTATGCAAATTCCACAAACACACACCCACACCCACTCTCTCTCTCTCTCTAAACCTTTTGCAAATACAAAACGGAAAAAAAACACAACAAATTTAGGTTTCTGGTTGAAAGCAAAGATAATCTTTGGCATATTTATTTTGGTTGTTATTTAAGTAGCTTTTAAATACTGTTGTTCTTCTTGTTGTTGTCTTCTATTATGTCTTGTTGTTGTTATTACTATTTGCACATGTGTATATACATAAATAAGTGTATTGTTTCAAAATTGTGTGAGATTAGTTTCATCTTTTCCATTCTCTATACTTCCTCCTCCACCCCTGCTATTAAATGTGAATTGTTAATTCATTCACAAAATGTCAATGTGCGGTGTTTAGCGCTCACAGGATAATGTCATGTATTTCATAATGCGTACAGAGGAAGTGTGTCACACACGCAAAAATGGGCCATATCAACGTGTATGAACGTGTGATAATCTGTGAATAAAAATAGCATCATATTTCAATCATGTGTTCCCATTCTCCTTCACACATATTTAGACACAACCATGAGTATATATATATGTCACAAGCTAAGCAAGCCAAAGTCGTAGACCTTATTATGAAAATGATGTAGCAAAAAGAAATAGCTTTTTAATACTCCTTTCATTTCAAACGCTTTGCAAGGATATATTAGGGCCTGTTTCTGTATGAAGCTACGAAAGTGAGCTCGAAAGAAACCCCTTAATTCCATGAGCATTTTTTTTAAATTAAATGAAAATTAAGAAATGTTCAGGGAATTGCTGTTTTTATTTGGAGTTCACTTTCGATACGACATACGAAAATAGGCCGTTATTTTTTGTAAAATAAATGACTTACGACATTTGCATGCCCAACAGATGATATGTGCTAATGTGTCTAGCCAACATGCAGTCTACTCATTCAATGGTATTGTAGAATGGGGGAGAAGGCATTTTGGCATCCAATTTAAAAGAAAAAAAAATATAATAATAATAATTTATGGCCAGAGATTAAGGCCAAACGATATTAACTAATCCGTTTGTCATATCAGGGGCATCCAATATTTCAACCATGGCCTAACTATTTGGTCTCTTAGTAAGACCTACTGATTTCCTTCGAATTGTCAAAATTCATCGTAGTCAATCGTATGATCGTATCGGATATTTCATTCAGAATCAAGGACTTTGGAGTAAACTTTAATAATTTGCCTTGCCACACCGAGCATAGTGTACAGGGTGGACCAACAGTTACCAAAGGGCTATATTTCAGATATATTTCATGACTCGTTAAAACTTTTTATACCATCCACCCTAATATTCCGTTTATAACATCTCGATATATAAATTTTAGACCCCACAAAATATATAGATTCTTGATCATCGTACAATTCTATATCGATTTAGCGATGTCCGTCCGTCTTTCTGTCCGCAATTTCCTCCGTGGAAATCACTCTAGCTTCCGAACGAAATGAGGTAGGTTGATAAAATTTTACTCAGGTGTGTATTAGGTCTGTAGGACTTTTGATATTGGAAATCTGCTATATTGGTCCACGTTTTGATATAGGCCCCATATAACTAAGCCAACAGATTTAAACTTTTTTTAGGGAGTTTTAGTCACAATTTTAACCCGAATTTGCTGTAAATTGGCTGTATGAGTTTCCATTATGTAAGAAACGTCCTTGCATAGATCTGTCAATATAGGTCTAGATACATATAACTGTATCTTCAGATATTCGGTATTTTGATGATTTGTGTCACACTTTTCACCGGAACTGTTTAAAAATTGGAATTTGAAGTTCTTAATGGGTATAACATTCGACGACAGAAAATTTCTCAAACAGGTCCATGTCTTCGTATAGCTCTCATATAACGGTACCTCCTTATATTCGTTAATTTTGACGATCCAAGTCTTCGTATAGCCCTCATATACGGTACCTCCTTAAATTCCTTAATTTGACGATTTTAGCAACAATATCCACCGGAGTAGATTCAAATTTCATATTTGTAGTTCTTAATGGGTACTTTGGGCCTATAACAGAAAATTGCATATGCTGACCCATGTCTTCCTATACCCCCCATATGAAGGTACCTCCAGATTTTCGGTATTATGGTGATATGTCACACTTTTCACCGGAAATTTTTCAAATTTGGAATATGAAGTTCCTTATGGTTACTACGTTATTTCTCAAACAGGTCCACGTCTTCGCATAGCCTACACATAACGGTACCTCCAGATATTCAGCATGTTGATGATTTTTGAGACAGTATTCATCGGAGTTGTTTCAAATTTCGTATTTAAAGTTCCTAATGGGTGCTATAGTCTACGACAGAAAATTGCCTATTCAGGTCCAGTCTACACATAACGGTACCTCCAGATATTCAGCATGTTGATGATTTTAGCGACAGTATTCATCGGAATTGTTTCAAATTTCATATTTAAAGTTTTTAATGGGTGCTACAGTCTTTGGCAGAAAAGGTCCAGGTTTTCGTATAGCCCCCATGTAGCGGTACCTTCCCAAATGGATACTATAGTCTATGACAAAAATTTCATATACAGGTCCACGTCTTACTCCTTCGATTCTGTATTTTTATGATTTTAGAAGTTTTTTTTTTTCAAAATAATTGTTTTGAAAATTTGCAAATTCCTACCAAGGGAGTATTTTTAAGTCTACAGCTTTCTCAATTGTAATTCCCAACATTTCAATTGTAATTCAAGGGTAATGGGAGGCTTATAAAATAAGTATCAGAACCTCAATATTGGAACTGATTTTAAACGAATTTGATAAACATGATTTCTTTGAAATAGCAGTGAATTATATATGAGAGATATATCTAATTCTGGGCTAATTTAAATTGGCTTCATTGCGAAATGGAGAAAAAATAACGATGTAAAATGTAACATTCATCGAACTATACACCTTACCTTTCACTAGAGTATTACAGCTTGATGTGGACTTGGAAAATCCCTATTTAAACTTGATATTGATTTTATACGATTTAGCAAGTGTTGAGTTTGTTTTAATCTTGAAAGTGAGAGCTAGAGCCGCAATCTTCGCTTTCATAGTTAAAAAATTGCATTTTTTTCTCTGACGGCATGTCCCTACAGGACTTATAAATTCAGACTTGATATATCCATATGACCACACCAAAGGCTATTTAGGGTATCACAACCCTCCCAAAATTGCTACAAATCGGTTTAGATTTAAATAAAATACTTTTATTTATAATAATCACATTTAAATATAATTTTAATATGTTTCACGCAATGTGAAAAGTAGAATTGAAGCACATGACCACATAACTTTTCCTTGCCTAGAAAAAAAAACTCGTGTCATTTATAATTCAGTGGCACACATCCGCATAAGCCACATAAAGGTCAAAATAATTTGAAAAAAACAAAAACTGTAGAAACTCTCTTTAATGGCTAGAAGCGTTAAATTCTTAACATATAACTTTTTTCTAATGTGCTATTTTTGGTTTTCTATTGGCCATGTAGTGGGTATTGCCACATTTTAATTCACTTTGATTCTTGTAGATCTTTCGTTTGCTCTGAATAATTTATTTTGTTTTCATTTCAATGCTGGCCTGTCCACTCTCCGCACTTTCTCTCTCTCTCTCTCTCTCTATCGCCCCCTACTCAAAACACATGCTCTATGAAATTTCTCTACGTTACTTGGCTGGTGGAAGTAAGTTGTTGTAATTTGGTTTGCTCCTATTACTGACAGTTTGTGCCCTTGTTATGTGTGACATGTATCATTATGACGTTCTTTTTTGTCTTCTTTTCATGTTGTTCTGTGTACATGCATGAATAACAGTTCTCTTTATTTCGGGGTTTTCAGACGACGAAGATGATGACGACGAAGAGGATGACGACGAGGAGGAGGATGATACACCTCAAGGTCAAGCTGCACCTGCCGCCTCATCCGATGATGACGACGAGGAGGATGATGATGACGATGACTATTTGGATCGCTTGTTCGATGACATTTTGGGAGGTAAGTACTGTACAAAAGGTTAATAATAGCATAAATATAGAGTAATGCCCGAAAAAAAGGTTCAATCAATAAGTGGGTTATTGTGTAGCAATATTTCACATGATGAATTGAAATTCAAAATAAGCTATAGAATAGTGACAACCTAATGAGGGGAGGACAATTTTATTCTGTGAAATATTTGAATAATCTGCAATATAGGTAGTACGTAGAAAAATAGCAGTTATAAATTATTCATAGGTATGTTTTATACTATTGGAAAACCAGTAAAGAAAGTCCTAAAGTCGGGCGGGCCGATTTTATGATACCCTACACCACTTTGCTAATTTAGTTGAGCTCCACTTAATAATTAAAAGTTTTTATGGGAGAATTCAATCATACACGCTATGATTATAATTATAATTTAAAATTCAAAGGACTAAATATGCCGAAGCATTTGTATCTTTTAAATTCGAACTTGTATTGCCCACTTGGTGCGAAATTTATTTGAAACCGGATAAAAAAATATATGGGAAATATACCCAAATCTGAACCGATCTCGATAAAATTTAGCAAAGGTATTTCTGAGCTGCATTTGATATATTTCCCCAAATATTGTTGTTACAGAGTGCATATTACGGCTGCGGAGGACAAAAATAACAAATCGGATGAACAATATATATGGGAGCTATAGCTATATCTGAGCCGATTTCGATAAAATTTGGCATACTTATTTCCAGGCCTAATTTGGTTGTATGTGCAAAATTCCATACTATTCGGGCTGATATTACACGTTTGGTGCACAACAAAAGGCAAATAGAACGAAGATATATATGGGAGCTATATCTAAATTTGATCCGATTATCTCCAATTTCAATAGGGTTCGTCCTTGGGCCAAACAAATGTTGTTTGCAAAGTTTCATCTCAATAGGATAATAAATGCGACCTGCATTTTTTCACAAGAATACATGGACAGACGGACGGACGGACGGACTGACATGCATAAATCAACTCAGAAAGTGATTCTATGCAGATCATCAAAAGGAACTATGGGTCTATCTCGTTTCCTTTTGCCTGTTACAAACAAATGCACAAAGACATAATACCCTTACCATCTTGTGGTGTAGGGTATAATTAAACCTGTAAAGAAAGCTCAAAAGTCGGTTGGGGCCCTATACCACAATTCGTATACTATTCGAACTATATTCCAAATACCTAACCTATCACATAATTGGATTATTTAAAATTCTTCCAGAACTGTATTGAAATTAAAGATTTTTTGAATCCGGATTTAAAAAAAAAATCCCCCAAAAATCAAAAAAGCCTGACACTATAAGCTTTCCAAAATGCTGCAATATGTGTTATTATCTTCATTGGATCAAGAGATATGGGTCTTTGAACCCGTAGCCGATCATGTTCAGTACATTCTATTCAGTTTTTCTAAATTATATGCTGTTTTGGGTAGCCGCAACTGCAACAAAGTCAAATGTCATAATTTTTACATTTTTTTTAATTCTATTGAACTAAAGCAAAACATGTCGGAAAGAGCATCAAATTTTAGAATTAGTTTAGATTTGTTCGAATTGGCACACTTTTGGCACGAATTAAGGTCTTCAAACGGCCAATGAAAACGTCACACCCTGCCCGAATGTTGCTCTGCGATATTTTGACCCATTCGTGGCGAAGCGCTTGCTTGCATTGATCGACACTTTGGTATTTTTTAGTGCCAACCTTGCTTTCCAAAATACTCCAGACACAATAATCCTACGGATTGGTATCCGGAGATTTTGGAGGCCATCGTGCGCTGGAAATGAAGCGAGGAACCTCATTTGGTTACCATTGATTGGTGGCGCGTGCTAAGTGCGATGGTGCTGAGGCTTTAATACACCCTCCAGAATATTTTAGCGATAATATTCGTTATGTATTCTGATGCCACGGTCGATTAATACGAGCGGAGAGCGACCATTGGCTGTTATGGCGGTCCACACCTTCACCATGGCCGGAGCTTGAGACCTGGTGGCCAACCGAAGGTGCACATTTTCAAGGCCCTGCAAACCTTAAACAAAATTGCTGAATATTCTCGAAGGTCGTTCTGGAGAATGATTTTCACTGGGCTTTTTTGACATAAAATGAGGGATGAAGAATAAAATTTAAGAGCTAAGAGGGCTTTTTTGAACTAAACTATTTAGAAATTGATATTGAGACCCTTGAAATATGGATGATGTTTTGAAGACTAATTTTGTGAAACTTAACTTTATCATCTGCACACTATATTAATATGAAGCATTTGTGGAAAGTAAAACAAAGCCATTTTCGGAATAAAGAACAGAAACTTCAATATTTTTTAATAAACAACTGAGAAAATATCTGCATAATAATTTATCTATCAAACATGAATTTTCCAACATTTTCCTTAGCTTTATTAACATAAATATACGTTTCCTTTAATTATTATAATTTCCAGACGACGAAGAAGAAGATGATGACGACGATGAAGATACTGCCTCAAGTGTACAAAATACCATTGCTGCCCAACCTGCTGCACCCATTGAAGATTTAGCTCCCGCCGCCGCTTCCTCAACCAACACCGGCATCTCCGATGGTGTTGATTTGCCCGTCGAAAGTGGTAACGCAGCCGATACATTGAGCGAGGGAAATGCCGCCATTGCTGATATTGCGCCTGCCAGCAGCAGTAACCAGAACGAAGGTGAACAAGATGTTTTTTATGATGAAAATTCTAACATTATTGTAGATAGTATTAGTAGTAGTGGTATTAGCAGTAGCAGTAGTAGTAGTAGTAGCGGTAGTGTAATTGGTAATGTCAACGGTGCTAGTGGCAGCGACATTGATGTCAATATCATTGCCGGCGGCAGCAGCATTAATGACAATAGCGGTAGTCAAGTTGATAGTCTCACTAGCTCAGAACAGATTCATCTAAACACAAAACAACAAATCCAACAAGTACAACAACAGCTCATAACAAACAGCCCATTTGACACTCTGAAAAACACACCACCAACAACAACAGCAACAAACTCCATTCAGAAACCATCAAGTAGTACCACTAATACCAAATTAAATAATTTAAAGAATAACAATAACAAGAATCACATCGCTTCTGATCCAAGTTCCAATCTGACACCGGCCGAGGCAGTGGTGGTCAGCAATAAGACCCCCACGGCCAATGTAAATGCCAAACCTGTGAAGGAGGCGAACAACGATCAGAATGCCGATGATGATGATGATGAAGAAGAAGATGATGATGATGAAGAAGATGAACTTGATGATGGAGTCGATGAAATTACAGGTGCCCTAACCGGTGATGATGATGAAGCTGATGACGAGGATGAGGATGATGATGACGACGATATTATTGGCGATGATGTGATCGAGGCCCGTCGTGAAGCACGTGAGTCCCAAACAACAACAGCTAAGAAACATACCACCAGCAAAAAATCAACAAGTGCTTTGAAGAGTAAAAAATCATTGAAAGCTTAAAACGAGACGATGAAGGCTATCTAATGGTTTTCCATTGCTAATTAACTACTTCTCGCCCCCACATCCAAAAAAAAAGAACAAAAACAAAAAACAATAAAAAGGCCAATCCATAAATGACACAAACGACCTCAATTAAGGACAATTCTGAACGATCTATAAGCCTCTAAGCATTTATGTGTTTTTTCTTTAAGATTTTGTGTGTGTGTATGTGTGTATTTGTGTTTGTGCTAATCTTAAACATTTCCACCATCTAACTTTGTCATTTGTCATTATTGCGAATGTGTGTTAGTTTCTCGCTCGCCATGGCAATGTTGTTGTGAGACTGTGTGAGCTGTCTATCTGCCAGACAGATGACCAGAAAGCAGAATAGAAGGAATAGTTTTGACTTCATAAACAGCTTTTCTTCGTAGTTTACTAGTCTGCTTATCATCATCTGTGTAGTTGTTGGGTCAACGTTCTTGTGCCAGCTTGGTTGTTTTATCTTTTAAATGAACGGTTTTTACGTTTTCCGGCCTGTGAAATGCAAGTGAAAAAGGAAATCGCTGAAAAATATATTCCTTTTCAAGTCTTCCTTGCTGTCAACCAACAACAACATGTCTGCACACACACACCCATATGTACGTGCATCCTTGGCCCACTTAAAGTTAGGTTAATTCCGCACTTCACACCAAAATCTTTGAAAAAAAAAAAAAAAATAATTTAAACGAATTTGCACAAAACATGAAAAAACAAATTATAGTATAAATCTCCACCATTTTCGCACCAATTTGTTTTTTACTTTGAAAAGCACAACTTGTTGAAAACAAAAATACATTCTATATATCTGTCATGCAATTTCGTTTCATAATACATCTTCATATTCATATCAGAAGAACGGATGAAAAAAAAACATAAATGTATTTCTATTATCAAAATCTATACAAAATGAAAACGGCTAAGAACATTAAATATCCCTAATTTTTTCTTAAGGATATTCAGTGTTAGTTAGTTATTATTTCAAATGTAACGCAACGTAGCCTGTAGTAACGTAACGTAATGTAAACCTAATTGTATCGTAGAAACATCACAACTTTCTTAACAGCGCACATTACCTATCCATGTTTTCCTTCTCTTTCTAGTTTTTAGTTAAATGTAATTTTAAATTATTTATTTATTTATTTATTTTGATTTGTAATGTAATTTATTTATTTATTTATTTATTGATCACAATTACACCACAAAAATCTAAAACACTAAACTGTCTTTTCTTTCTTTCACTCTGTCTTTCCGCCTTTACTGTGGCAAAATTTTCCTCTATTCTATCTTTCCATAAACCGAGAATTGAAATACATTATTAAGAGAATCATGAAATCATTTAATAATGTATTTAATTCTGACTTTAAGCCGGTCCAAAAATATTCCAACGCTTGAAAAATACTAGTTTTGTTAGAAGCAGCTAAAGCCTTTCATTCAAAATTAAAAAAATAAATTTGTCGCCTTTGGTAATAAATATTAAAAGTCGTAAAAAAAACAAAAAAATAAAATTATATATATATAAAAATAAGTAAAAATTTTGAGAATCTGTATGCCTCCCCATGTCTCTCACGGTAATATGTTTGACAAAATCAGATCATATTAAAGATTTCCAAATAAATAGCAAAAAATGGATTCTAAAGTGGTCTTAAAAATTAAAAGTAGATGGACAAGCCAATAAAATAAAAAAAATGCAAATAATTGAACTATTCAAAAGTTTACTCAAATTTTTATACCCTCCACAAAGACATAGTATGGAGTGTATATTAGGTTCGTCATTCCGTTTGTAACTCAGCGAAATATTAATTTTAGACCTAACAAAGTATAAATATTCTTGATCAGCGTAAAATGCTAAGACGATTCAGCCCTGTCCGCCCGTATTTTGTAATCACGCTAGAGTCAAAACGTATTAAAATAGAAAGCTAAAATTTTGCACCGATCTGTCTTTTGTCTGCAGGCAGGTCAAGTTCGAAGCTATGTCGGTCCCCCCGATATTCGGTATTTTCATGATTTTAACCACATTTTTCAATGGATTTGTCTTAAAATCCACACCAGAAGCTCATTCTGAGTACTTTAACTCCTGGAAGAGAATTATCAATATAGGTCCACGATGTCGTACATCCCTCATATAACAGTACCTCCCTATATTCGGTATTTTGATGATTTTAGCCACATTTTCTGTCCGTCCGTCCGTCTGTACGTCTGTTATAATCACGCAAGAGTCAAAACGATTTAAGATAGGAAGCCAAAATTTGGCACCGATCTGTCTTTTGTTTACAGCCAGGTCAAGTTCGAAGATGGGCTATATCGGTCTCCCCGATATTCGATATTTTCTTGATTTTAGCCAGATTTTTCATTGGAATTGTCTCAAAATCCACATCAGGAGTTCCTTCTGTGAATCTTACCTCCTGGCAGAGAGTTGTCAATATAGGTCCACGATGTCGTATATCCACCATATAACGGTACCTCCCGATATTCTGTATTTCGAAGATTCTAGCCAACATTTTTCAGTGGAATTGTCTGAAAATCCATACAAAGAGTTCCTTCTTAGTATTTTACCCCCTGGAAGAGAATTGTCTATATAGGCCCACGATGCCGAATATCGCATTTAAAGTTTGAAGTACGTAAAGAGGATTACAACCTATGTCGGAAAATTTTCTATGCAGGTCCACGTCTTCGTATAGCCACATATAACGGTACTTCCTCTATTCGGTATTTTGATAATATTAGCGATGTCATTTAACGGAATTGTTTCTAATTTTTAATTTGAAGTTCGGAACTGGTACTACAGCCTTTGACAAAAAAATTACTTATGCAGGTTGACTTCTTAGTATAACCCTAATATAACGGTTTTTATTTAGCGGATTTTTTTTTAAACATCCTTCGAAAAGGTGGAGGGTATTAAAAGTTCGGCCCGGCCGAACTTAGCTGTTTTTTTAATTTTTTTATATCGGCTGGAAAATAAAAATTAGCTGATCAAACTGTAATATTTTTGCTAGTTTCTATGATATTTCTCCCAAAGAGGTGAGTGTGATTCTCAATCACTTTTGAAAGCTCGACAAATATAGAAGCTTAAAAGGCCAAGTGACCATTCCCTTCGCATGAAATCGTGATATTGATAAGGATCAGCAAATATTGCAAAGTTGTCTCAGTTTCCTTTTAAATAACAACGCTCTCTGTTATAGAGAGTATTATGAAGCTAAGTTGGGGAATACTCATGAATACTCATCATCTCAAAAATCCAAAAAAAAAAAAAAAAAAAAAAAAAAAAAAAAATCTTTTTTGGACTCATAGATAGATTTTTGAAAAAGAGGCGAGCTATACTCAAGGCAGTACATTCAAAAAAAAAATTGTTCTACTGTGGCAACTTCTAATTGACCGGAATATGCAAAATTTTGTCTCTTAACTACACATATACCACAAAACATTTAAACAAATTACACATTTCCCTTTCACAAAGACAAAACACAAAACACCAAAAAATAAAAAAAAACTCTAAAATATTAATTCACAACTTTTCAATATTTATTTGAAATTCTTAAAATTTGTTTTTTTTTTCTTATGTAAAACTTCCTTACAAACGAAATTGTGTTTTATGTTAGACAACAAAACTAAACAGAGAAAACAAACATTTGAAAATTAAAGGAAAATAATTTGAAAATTTAAACATGTGTTTTATTTTAACATCATTAATTGGTTTACCACTAACGTGGCTTAATATCTTTGTGAAAAGAGGAATCAAAGGCGTAACTTGGCCATTAGATGCAACCTAACACCTAGCCGCCTTATTACGACAGCAAAAAAAAAAAACACAAAAGTTCAAATCAGCAAAATTGGCTTAGAGGCATTTTTCAAGCGTTTGTTTGTTTCCCAAACAATATAAAAATAATGTTTTTCCACTTCCTTTGCTTCTTTTCTATAACTGGCATTTCAAAGCAAAAAAATCAACAACAACACATAAAATATTCTCCTATACACATCCTTCTCCGTTGATCCTTGTTGGTTGTTTTTTTTGCTTTGTGTTCCGTCAAACACCTAAATCCTGTTAACCGTTTATCACCTACAGTGATGCCATTTGAAATGGCTTTGCTGTTGCCTTTTCTAATCACCTGCTATATTCCATGTTTCCTCTTTCTTTGCTCATACTTTATCTCCTCCTCCTCCACCCCCTAACACAGAGTCTTTAATTTTTGCCATGTTTTGGCATTTTTCTGAGTTACGCCTACTTTCCTTTTCTAACACACATTTACTTTTTTCAACTCTATCGCTAGCACTTAAACTTCTCTAAACAACATGTATGAGTGTGAATGGGTATATGTAAGTAAGTAAGTATGTATGTATGGGGTTATGGTTCAATTGCTTTCCTTTCTTCCTCTTCGTATTTTTCATGTTTACAACAACTAGTAAGTCCTATTGTCGTATTTCTCTTTTGTGTGTGTATGTGTAAAAATTAATATAATCCATCACTTGTATTCCATTTTCTGGTAACAGGAGATTTACCCAGATTTATGGTTAGGCATTTGTGAACTGTAACAGGAAATTTATGTTCCGATTATCATTGAATTTGAAACAAAAAAGTATGTTCTTTTTGTTTTTGCATTACATTGACATAATTTGTAGTGTAAAATTTTTTGGGTAAGGGGGGATAATAAATAATGAAAATCGCATAAGCGGAATTATATTTGGAGAAACTGTCAAAATGAACTAAAATCTACCTATTACTGACTAACAAGAGTTGACTCTTTGTGGGGAGGTACCAGATAAAATGTTCCGATCTCTACCATCTTTATAACAGATCTTGTGTTGATAGTAATATTGAGATGTGGCAAGTCTATATGGAATCGGATGTCAATTTCGCGTTTTATGAGCTTCATGGATATTCAAAAGGTTAACCTTTTG